CATTTATTTATTCAGCAGCTACTACGTGCTGGCCGGCACTGCCGAGGGACCGGACGCCTGCCCCAGGCGGGACAATGCCGGGAGCAGCGCTAGCGGGTTCTGGACGCCCAGCTTCAGGGTCCCCAGCCCCTCGGTCTGAGGGGCGCCTCCCAGGCCCTGGACTCCTCTCCAGCCGGGTCTACACCACCGTCCCCCGTCATCTTCTTCTGGGTTACTGAGCAGCTTCTTTTAAAATAGCAACACCGAGGAAGGCCCCGAAGCCCAGTCTTGCACCTCGTGGTGTGAAGTCGTTTAATCCTGCCCGCTAATGCGAAAGGACTTTCCACCGTGTGCAGGACTCGGCGCTGGGCAGGGGCTCTCGCAGGGTTTGAACCGACCTCCGCCTCCCCTGCGGGTTCGCAGGCCGGCGAGGGAGTCGCGGGAAGGAGACGCGCTACTGTGCGAGGCTGGCCTGAGCGGCTTGGGCAGTAGCTGTCCCGGGCTGGGGACGGCTTTCGGCTCCCCAGGCCATTCCGTCGGGGTATCTGCGGCCAATCTCGAAGGTGAAGAGGCTCGGGGTTGGCACAGACTTCACGGGAGGGGTCCTAGAAGGGGAAAGGGGTGGTATTTGCTCTTAGCGCAGTCTGGGCGTGACGCGGAAACTTTAAATCACCAGAACCTCTGGAGAGCTTGGAGCACCTGGGCAGGAGCAACCAGAGTGGGCCGGAGTGAGGGAAGGAAGGCATCGCGGCGAATTCGCCCGCTTTGACCGCCTTTAGGGCGGCCGCTTGTGCAGCCAGCCTTCTGGAAGGTAGGCTTTGCGCTTGGTGCAGAGAAGCCCCCTCCTCCGGATCTGTGTTCCGCCCCAGTCCTTGAATAAGGAGGTGATCACACAAGTCAAGCTTCTCTAGTTCTCGGTGGAATGAGACGCCCTTATGGGGTCTTAAGGTTGAATGTTTGAATACTGTAAAAAAGATGGGACCTGCCTACAATTAATCTCTCACACTACTGAGCGAATGTGCATTGCTGTGGACTTGTCTAAATTGGCCCAAATGCATAGCCAGCGTTTGCATTGTGGTGTACTAACAACATCATTCAGAATCAAACCAAACCATTCTTATTTAAACCTTGCTTCCTAGTTTATTTTTTCCCAAACAAGTTGAAAACATTTGTTATACTAAAATGTCTACATCTTATTACTTAAAAAAAAAACAAAGTAACAAACTTTGCTGCTGCCATAATTTTATGTCACTGAGGTGAACTTTTCTATTCTAAAATATTTGTAATTTCAAATTTGTTAAACTTTCAGCTAAGTAGTTTTACCCAAATTCTAAAACCAGTGAGGAATCCAAGACAGCACGCAGCATTAAATGACGTTTATTGTTCCATAAATCTTCAGACTTCAAAAAGAAACGCTAAATAGACAAACAGAACTCTAAAGCAATTAAGAGACAAGCTCGCTGCTTCTTCCCCACTGATTGGCACAGGAAACATTTGGTCATGCAAAAGCCGTTAAAATGACGGAAAGGAGAGTTGCCACTCTCTAGCCTTTTTTGTTCTGATCAAGTTTGAACTCTGCTGTTCGGAGTTCACAGAATTTATGTAGTAACAGACCTTCAGAGAATTCCTAATGGTCAAGACAATGAAATTGCATTTATATCTGTAAAAGGAAAAGAAACATGAAGATTATCCCCATTTTAGAGGTGGACACATTTAGATTTGATTTGGGCTCCAGATAATCCTTGGCAAAGAAAGATGATGCAATCCGGTGGCCAGGCCGCCATATTTTCCTGGTCTGGAACCGTGTTCTAGCTGCTGAAGAGCCTATTCTGTTGCTTTCAAAATGCTCTTTTCTCCTGGCTTTACGTTTTCTCTCCAGCGCTAAATTCGTGGAGATAAGCTGCAATAAGCAAAGCTCCCACTGTCAATGTCCTAATCTTGAGTGGCAGGAAAATTAGTAATATCAAAAATGGGAGTAGACAGTGAAAATTATTTTAAAAGATAATTCTATTATATACAAATTTAAAATCTACCAGGTGGGCCGGGCGCGGTGGTTCACGCCAGTAATCCCAGCCCTTTGGGAGGCTGAGGTGGGAGGGTCACCTGAGGTCAGGGGTTCGAGACCAGCCCTGCCAACATGGCAAAACCCCGTCTCTACTAAAAAAATACAAAAATTAGCCAGGTGTGGTGGCAGGCACCTGTAATCCCAGATACTCAGAGGTTGAGGCAGGAGAATGGCTTGAACCTGGGAGGTGGAGGTTGCAGTGGGCCGAGATCGTGCCACTGCACTCCAGCCTAGGCGACAAAGCAAGACTCCATCTCAAAAATAAAAATAAAAATAAAATATATCAAGCACGCCTGTAGTCCCAGCTGCTCAGGAGGCTGAAGCAAGAAGATCACTTGCCAGGAGTTCAAGGCACTATAACCGTGCCTTTGAATAGCCACTGCACTCCAGCCTGGGCCACATAAGGAGACCTCAGCTCTTAAAAATAGTGTTTATAGGTAAACACACACACAGAGACACACACCTTTAATCCAGCAATGATAGTACAATTATTTTCCTGTGACATGAAAGTTGCTCAAGATATGCAAGGATATTCACTGCAGCGTGTTTGATAATAAAGCCAGAAAAACCACCAGTAGCCATCAGTAAGGTACTAATTAAATAAATTATGAATTTTCCATAATTAGCAGACATTCTAAAAGCATTAGATAAACATATATGTGCTGGTAAGGGGAGCTCTCCAGTATATGTTAAGTGAAAAAAGCAAGGTGCAGAAAGACATTTGGCTGGCTAAGTTCAGTGGAGTGACAATCCAGTCAGTTCTGGAGATGGGGCCAATCATAAAATGTAAAGAACACAGCCTCCTGTACACTTCCTTCCTGTCAAAGGAAGGACACAGATAGTAAAGGAAGGACGTTCTTATAGAGGATTAGTACTATCAGGGAGATCCATCAAAGAAGTATCATGAGGTAAATAATCATTAAAGAAAAAGGATGGGGAGAGATGAGCATAGACATGAGGCTAAAATGGACAAGCATGGTGGGGCATGTTTGGGAAAAGAAACGGGTGTGCAAAGTTCAAAGATGAAGCGAGCATGAAAGAGCCCAAGACTGGCTGGAGCCATCCAGTTAGGAGGCTGTTGTGATAGTATAGGTATGAGACAGATAAGGTCTGGATTAGACATAAGGCAATGAGGGATGAAAAGAAATGGTTTGGCAAGAATTTGCGACTGATTAGATTAAGAAGAGAGAGGCAAATAGGCTAGAAGGAGGAATCTGAGGTGATTCCAAGGTTTTAGACTGTTGAAGAGCTGGAAAAAATGAGGAAGTCTAAAGGGGGATGTGAGATGCAGTTGACTTTAGAAATTAGAGATACCCAGCAGAAAGTTAAAGGTCAGGACTAAAGCTCGAAGCAAAGGTCAGAACTGCAAATATATGGCTGGATGTCTATCACCTAAAAGTCTGTAGAGAACTGAGTATATAGGAGTGAACCTTGGGAGGAAAACATCAGTGCAAGTCAAATAGAATTAAGTAAGCCATCTATAATCCTATTTTCGGCCTTCCATAATTTGATATAATTTTATTTCTTTGTACAATGTGGTCTCCATTTTCAGTTATGTGTGTGAAAATTAGTTGTTAGTGTATAAAGCGTCTTCACTGTGCTAGTGAATCAGCTCTGTGTAGGACAAGATGAACTGGTTTTCAATATTTTAATATCCCTTGTTTCTTCAAGGAGATCAGGGATTATACACATTTCAAATTCTAAATAAAAGAACATTATTTATTTCTTAATCAAACTAGTGGCATTTTTTTCTTGGCAACTGAACTGGTTAAAACAAGTATCTCTAATTATTGTGATTAGGTAACCCCAAGCCACAATTCTAAATTTTATTGTCTAGACAGTCCTTAAGAAGAAAGGCATGTGATCTTTAAAAATTCCCAGTGCGGACCAGGCGCGGTGGCTCACTCTTGTAATCCCAGGACTTTGGGAGGCCGAGGTGGGTAGATCATTTGAGGTCAGGAATTCGAGACTAGCTTGGCCAATATAGTGAAACCCCACCTCGACTAAAAATACAAAAACTAGCCAGGTGTGGTGGCACGTGCCTGTAATCCCAGCTATTCGAGAGGCTGAGGCAGGAAAATCACTTGAACCTGGGAGGCGGATGTTGCCGTGAGCCGAGATTGCGCCACTGCACTCCAGTCTGGGCAACAGAGTGAGACCCTGTCTCAAAAAAAAAAAGAAAAGAAAAAGAAAAAGAAAAAGAAAAAAAAATTCCCAGTGCTGGGTCAAACCAGAATCCTCGATGACCATAACCACTTCCCTTGCAGCTAATGATTACACCAACACCTTAGGCAAAAAGTCATTCCCATTTAATAATAAGCAACATCAAACAGATTCTGTTTTACCTTATTTATTGTGGGTAGGATACCGACATTGGGCCAATTTTGTGGTTGCCAAAAAAAAAAAAAGTGAACATTTAAAATCTCTGTCTCATTAGTGAAAAGAAGCAGAAGCTCAAATACCACGTTTTTATACATATGAAGGTCTCAGAGGGCACCTCTTGTAGGGTAGGGCTTTAGGGTGACTAATTCATGTAGATTTTTTTCTTTTATTATTATTTTTTAAATTACATAAAAAATAGAGATGGGGATCTCACTATGTTGCCCAAGCTGGTCTCGAACTTCTTGCCTAAAGCAATCCTCCTGTCTCAGCCTCCCAAAGTGCTTTGATAACAGCATGAGCCACCGCACCTGGCTTACATTATTTCTTATGTAACGAAATAATATGAAGTTCTGTTTTCCTTTTGCCATCTTTAATTTGCATCTCTTTTTTTCCTGTTCCAACTTTATAGTCTGAAAAATATCTTCTTTAAAAGACAGGATTGGGCCGGGCACAGTGGCTGATGCCTGTAATCCCGGCACTTTGGAAGGCCAAGGTGGGTGGATCACTTGAGCTCACGAGTTCAAGTCCAGTCTGGGCAAGAGGGTAAAACCTCGTCTCTACTAAAAATACAAAAATTAGCTGGGTGTGGTGGTGCACTCCTGTAGTCCCAGCTACTCAGGTGGCTGAGGTGGGAGGATGGCTTGAGCCCGGGAAGTGGAAGTTGCAGTGAGCCAAGATTGCACTCGAGCCTGGAAGATGGAGCTAGATCTTGTCTAAGAAAGAAAAAAAAAAGGATTGTGTTCCTCATCCCTATCTTTTAGAAACAACTTTACATCTTCTTTCCCATCTCTCTGAATTTTCCATTAAGTTTTTATTTTTACTTATGATTTGTCAGTTCATCTCTCTATCCCTACTTCATCTCCTCTCTCCCCCTCAGTTCTTGGTTCTCTGATACTGACTTAATGCTGTAAATGTGGCTTTAAGAAATTTAGCTACAGGACAGGTGCAGAGGTTCATGCCTGTCACTTTCCCAGCACTTTGGGAGGCCAAGGCAGGAGGGTTGCTTGAGGCCAGGAGTTTGAAACCAGCCTGGGCAACACGGCAAGACCTTGTCTCTACAAAAAAGAAAACAGGCTGGGTGCGGTGGCTCATGCCTATAATCTCAGCACTTTGGGAGGCCAAAGTGGGTGGATCACCTTAGGTCAGGAGTTCGAGACCAGCCTGGCCAACATGGTGAAACCCCATCTCTATTGAAAATTCAAAATTAGCTAGGCATGGTGGCGCATGCCTGTAATCCCAGCTACTTGGGAGGCTGAGTCAGGAGAATCACTTGAACCTGGGAGGTGGAGGTTGCAGTGAGTCGAGATCATGCCATCTACTCCAGCCTGGGCAACAAGAGCAAAACTCCATCTCAATAAATAAATAAATAAATAAATAAAAAGATAAATAGATAAATAAAATTAGCTGGTGTGGTGGTGTGCATCTGTAGCACCAGGTACTTCGGAGGCCAAGGCAGTAGGATTACCTGAGCCTGGGAGGTTGAGGCTACAGTGAGCCATGATCATACCACTACACCCCAGCCTGAGCGACAAAGCAAGACCCCATCTCAATAAAAGAAAAAAGTAAAACAAGAAAAGAAATTTAGCTACAATATAATCTTCCAAATTGATTTGTGGAATAGTCCAATTAAATGGAGGAGAAGAAGATTTATGTAATAAAACATGTTCAAAGAAGTATATTTTGTCAATAAATATATGGAAAGGTAATCAACATCATTAGTTACCAGTAGAATGCAAATTAAAACCACAGTAAGATACCATATAT